TAGTTTCTGAACCAATATTCCAACAGAAACTGGAGTATTCCATGCACGCCTGACTTTTGAACTATAAAAGATATAACAGGAGTGACGGCATCATGACTATTTCACCACGAAAATTTAAACTGTTAGTATAAGGCAGCTTTACCTTCAAACAGCCTGGTCATAATCTTCACATACACTATGGACTATTCTACATAGAGTTCCTTGAAACAGTGTTTCGAGTACTCAAAGTCGGTTTAATTGACATTTGCTCCCAGAAGCACTGGTGAAGACGCCCACCCCGTTTTTCAACTTTCAGTCGTTGATACCAACCTACACTCTTCAAAATTGTAATAAGGGCATTTGTTCTCAGAAGCAATTCTCGTTTCAATTTTCAATGACTGATCCCCCCTCCCCCTCCTTCGAGATCGACCTCTTCTTGATTCTCAAAGTGGGCAGTGAACAGTGGAAACAATTTTGAGAATATCTGTTTCTAAAAACATCGTAGTATAGTTTTCGAGATTCTATATTGGTCAATTGCCATAAGTGTACTTATCATGTATATAAGCATTCAGAAGCTATTGCAAGTCATCACATTGACATCACTTTACTGAAAATTGCGAAGTACCAGCTTTTAATTTTCCCGTTCGTGTTTTGCACGGCACAGCTCACTACTGTAACAGTGACTCAACGCGAAAGAGAAAATCGCATGTAAATGGTAATTTTGGCATTTTTTTACGAATTTTGGGCTAATGAATATACCATATATCGAAAATTGTTAATAATAACAGTTTTTTTGTAACTGCCATTATCATGGGAACATATATTTATTGTCTAGACGTATAGCAGCAATTTGTGACTTTATATTAAACAGGGTAGCAGTTGAAGACGACCTAATGGATACATTTTGTAAAGAAATGATAGCTTGTTCATGTTTTGCATTCTAAATGGAGCTATTAGATGGCCGATTATATTCCCATATGTAGTTTCTGGAATAGGCAGCAGTTTAACCTAACTGGAGAAACATATACCCTATATTTACCAGTTATATGTAAATGAAAGGAAAATTACTTCAAAACAAACTTGAATTTTCTACAATATGTTCAGAAGTTTGTTGATAAAGCCGAGCCGAGCAGAAATATCAGAGACATACAGAGAGAAGGAAACTTCTCCCATATATAATAATAATAAACGATTTTTTATTTGGGCGAAGTTTAGCTAGACACATACAAAATAAATATAACCATGAATTATATTGATGATGAAAATAATACTGATAACAACAAAATTATTTAATGTAATTACTCTGATAAACGAACTATTTTTATTAGAAGGAGTAAAAGATAAGTATTTCCAATTTTGACACAGTAAAAGCAGACACTTAATATATCTTTTAAAGTTACCGAATGTCAAAGATTTAATTACAGAGGGTAACGAATTATATAGATAGATGGCATAAAAAGTGAAGCCCTTATGGGGGATAGTTATATAATTTTGTGACATTCAACCATCGTAGTTCTTGAAAAAATGTCGAAATATGGTCGTGCTTTTATAAATTTTCTGTTAATTCAAAGCAAAAACTTTGAATTTTTTTAATGAATGGTGAGCAATATCCCAGTATGTGTATTGAAATGATCAATGATTCGCATAAAATTTTCTTAGTTTTGTAGTCTGGAATTTATTTATTGAGGTAGAATTGGCAAAGTACTGTAAAGCAACTCTTAGTAATATGACTCACACGCGGAATGAAATTTAAGCACTCGTCAAGAAAAATAATTAAGCTTTTAACTGATTCATGTATCTGAATATTTTCGCCGTCCACCGATATGTTTCTATTATACCTTTTAAGGGTCGCTTTTTTTTCATCTACCTGTTTGCAGCAGTATTTTAACTCCTTTTCGACTGATTATTTCGTGGTGTGTACAGAGATAACTAGAAAAATCCTTTTTAATTTTGTCTTTTCATGAAATGCATTTTTTGTGCATTTTAGTGTGTTTTTTCTTCTATCGTAACTTGGTAATATTGTTTTTAGTCATTTCCATATACACCAAGAAATTATCAGATGAAAAGGATTTAGAATACTGCTGCAGGTAGTTGAAAAAAAAAATCGAAAGAAGGGACAACATATACTAAGAGACATATAAATCCGAACACCCAGTTTAAATGGTTTTATTTTAATAAAATTTTGTATAAGTATACTAAGTGACATATAAATCCGAACACCCAGTTTAAATGGTTTTATTTTAATAAAATTTTGTGTAAGTACTTAATGAAGCATAATAAGTAAATGATAAAAATTTCAAAATGATTGCACTGCTTTAAAGCCCTTTGACCTTTAATAATGTGTGGATGCACCCCGATGTGCTACGCATCCTCAACGCGCCTAGGCATGCTTCTGATCAGGTGGTCAATGTCCTCCTGTGGTATCTCATTCCAGGCAACCACCAACTCCTCTCGAAGTGCTTCTAGAGTCTGAGGAGGACGTTGCAAATTGAGCAATCTCCTACCCATCATATCCCACACGTGCTCAATTGGGGATAAGTCGGAAGATCTTGGTGGCCATGGTAACAATGTGACATCATTATGTTGAAAGAAGTCTATTGTGACTCTTGCAACATGTGGTCGGGCATTATCATGTTGGAAAGTTGGATCTGCCAGGGTGTCAAGATAGGGTAAAAGATGGGGTTCTAGAACTTCGTGGATATAACGCTGAACGTTCATGTTGCCTCTGATGAAGATTAAAGGTGACCTGGAACCATAAGCTATAGCACCCCAAACCATAACTCCAACAGTGTGATGAACATGTCTTTCAACAAAAAACTGTGGATTTCTCCTTTCACCACGTCGCCTTCTAACCCTGGCACGACCATCGTGCATGCCTAAACAAAATCGAGACTCGTCACTAAAGAAAATACTGTTCCATTCCTGATCCCAGAGTGACCGTTGTCTGCACCACTCAAGGCGATTACGTCGGTGTTCTCGAGTTAAAGGGAGGACCCAGTGTGGCCGGTATGAAAACAAGCCAAAACTTCTCATTCGTCGGTAAACACTTCGCATGCCAATAGGTCTTCCGTATTCTGCAAACCATTCATTTGCAATGGACCTGGTAGTGGAGAAACGGTCCCTTAAAGCCAATAATCTTAGGCGGCGGTCTGTTGTTCTACGGCGGCGTCCAGTGCCTTCTCGAAGCCATGCCTGACAACACCTAACCACAGTGTCTACACTTCTTTGCACTCTAACTGCAATTGCCCGAAAAGAAAGTCCAGCTTCCCGAAGTCCCGCTATACGGCCCCTATCAAACTCACTAAGTTGACGAAATCGTACAGGTCTCCGTACTCTAGGCATCGTAACCGATCGTAAAGGATGTCAAGAACCAAAATCCGCCAACGTTGATTCTTTACTGCGGCTGAAATATTCATTTTTAGAGTGTTAGTGAATTAAAAAAAAGCAGTATAAAAACCGGAATGTCCAACTGATAAGGCTGAAAATTTGTTCACTTGTTATTTACAGTAAGATAAATACATTCACCAACTTTTATTAAAATAAGACCATTTAAACTGGGTGTTCGGATTTATATGTCACTTAGTATATATATAAAACCGGAATGTCCAACTGATAAGGCTGAAAATTTGTTCACTTGTTATTTACAGTAAGATAAATACATTCACCAACTTTTATTAAAATAAGACCATTTAAACTGGGTGTTCGGATTTATATGTCACTTAGTATATTTCCTAAATTTTTTGAAGTATACCTTTTGATTTTGTAGGGTTTAAACAGAGATTATGATGTTATGGGTAATTATCATTTATTTGAGATTCTGCAACTAGAAGTATATCTTTTGATTTTGTAGCGTTTAAACGGAGGTTATGATGTTTTGCGTAATTATCATTTATTTGGGATTCTGCAACTAGAATTATATTATTATTTCGAGATACCAGATTATTTGCTAACCCTAAAGGAACTGCTCTGGATATACGACCTTATAACATTAACATACTATCTTCTACAGGATGTTTCTATTATTGGGACATTCATTTATACAGGGTGTCCGCAAAGTTGGGGTTTTCCTTTACACGGCGTGTAGATCTTGAAAACATAAGCAACTTTTCTTAGTACCATATACACCAATGTCTTAAGGGAACCGAGATAAAGGGCTCTGCAACATCAAAAATATCTGAATACCGTCCTGTAGCCGCGACTCGCGATATCCCCAACTGGTACCGGCTACTAGCTCAACCCGACGACAGAACTGGGTCGGGGGTCGGGGTCAGTGTGTCAGGTCAGTATGAATCTTCAACCTACGGTTACGGTCACGCGTGTAGAGGTAAACGAACTCGTATAATCGATTGCGTTTCAAAAAACAACAAGCACTAGAGACGTGGCTAGAGAAGTACAAGTATCAAAAACTAAAGTGTGACAAACGCTGCGTGAAGAGGGGCTGTATCCGTTTCACGTCCAACGTGTACAAGCCCTTCAACCTGACGATTTTCCAGCAAGAGTGCGGTTTTGTGAGTGGTTGTTGCATCAACATGACAATAATCCGGACTTTTTGAAGTGCATATTGGTGACAGACGAATCTACGTTCACGCGTAATGGGGTGAATAACTTTCGCAACACTCATGTTTGGTCAGTAAAAAATCCGCACGCTGTCCGTCGGGCACATTTTCAACAAACATTTTCTGTGAATGTTTGGGCTAGCATGGTGAACGGTAGGCTCATTGGACCATTTATTCTCCCAAATCGATTGGACGGGATGAAATACCTAGACTATTTACGTCTGCTCGGTAGCGCATCAGCTGATTTCATTTTCTGTTGGAGCGGTATAATTTCGGGCAGAGACGTACTTAGCCCTTCTCGTCAACTGGAGAGTGAGTACTTTTTCCTTTATTTTTTTTACTTGGTCGCCCTCGTTTCACTACACATTACCTTTGTTCTTTCAAGGGTAGTTGTTTCTGAAAAGGAAAACCCCAACTTTGCGGACACCCTGTATAGTGTTCAAATAGATCGGAAATCAACAATCACTACAAAGAATATTTCTGTTGACCAACCTGGTATTCGTAAGACGGTTTCAAATAGTACAATGCCATCTCCTGGTGGAACACCGGTGTTGCAGATCCAGACAGTGGTGGCACAATCCAAACCCAGTCTGCTGGACACCCGTTTCTGAGCCTAACCTCGTTTTCGAGGTGCTTCATGAAGGACTCGGAAGCCGTGTGATGGTCAACGATGGTGACACCTTTCTGCTGGAAGCTGTGAAGCACTGCCAAGTTGGCTTCCACCATGGCTTTGTCTTTCCATAGGGTGATGGGAGTGCGGGTGTCTAGGCCCATGTTCAGAGCTATGGTCTGGAAATGAATGTGCCTTAGTTATCACAAAATTCACGCAATAGTTGAATCAAATATATATTATAAAGTACAAAAGCTGGGGTTATGTATGGAACAGCACATTGACTTCGCTGGTATACTCGCACCCTTCTGTCTAAACGCTCCATGACGAATCAAGCTGAAAATTAAATCATTTTACTAGTAGGGGACACTGAACATAAATGCCACAAATTATTAAAATCGGATAAACATACATAGATGTTTACCATTTTTTTAAACTGCTGTCTTGATTCGTGTCCAAAGGCTGTCGTCGGTTGGAATTTCTTCCTAACGTTTCGCTAGCACGAGTGGCAAGCTTCTTCAGAGATCCTTCCATTTCCGATGCTGGATGTAGACTAACGATTTCACACACAGCACGTGGTGAAAGTTTAATCCATCGGTTCTCGACGTTTATGGACGGCCTCTTCCTTGAGGGTCCTGCGCTCCCGCATTAAGGTTGGTGAGCCTTCGCTCCTTCCTCGTCGACTGGAGTCAGTCAGTCAGTTTGCTGTTTGTCTTCATCTCCTGAGGTTAGCCTCGAGTCCGTGCTTGACTCTGGCCACCTCAATCGACAGGCTTCTTTTTGTCCACCTGTTGTACACGGGCTGTTCTTTCCCCTCTTGGGTATACAACTATTGTCGGTCTTCTCCCATTTTCCTTGGCCTCATCAGCTGACTGACGATTTCTCTTGCGCAGGTTGTATTTATACCTGAGGGTAGATGACGTGGCTTGTTCCACTTCAGTTGACTTCGGGATGTCGATCGGCACTACTCGGGCGTTTCTGAGGATCGGGTGCCAGATCGGGTTGAGTCTGAGGGTCTCTTCCTTCCTGTTGAAGTTATCTGGATGTTTGTGAATCTCGATAGCTTCCCTGACCAGTCTATTGTGATAGCCGTTGACTGATGACAGCAACCTGCAGCTCCCAAAGCGTATCCTATGGTCCCCATTGCTTAGTGCATGTTCAGCTACCGCAGACTTCTCAGTTTGTCCTAGCCGGAAATTTGCTTTGTGCCCATTGAGTCTCGTTCCCATTGATCTTCTCGTGGTTCCAATGTATACTTTGCAGCATGAATACGGTATGCGGTAGACTCCTGCAGCTGAGAGTGGGTCCTTCTTGTCCTTTGCCGATCTGATGGTTTGTTGGATTTTCTTCGTAGGCTTGAAGATTGTTTTAATGTCATGTCTCTTCAGGAGTCTACCAGTCTTGTCCGTGACTCTTGGCACAAATGGAAGATAAGCTTGAGAGGTGGTGGGACGCTGTTCGGTTTTACGTGGCCTGGCTCTCGAGCTCATTGATCTTTCAATGTCCCTCTTGCTGTAGCCGTTTGCTTCGAACGCAGTTTTCAGGTGTTCAAGTTCTGTCTGGAGGTTCACCGGTTCGCAAATCCTTCGAGCTCATTCTGTCAGGGTTCTGAATTGGATGATGGTTGGACAAAGCGTGCAGGTATCTGTCTGTGTGCGTTGGTTTCCTGTACACCGTGTGACCCAGCTTGTTACCTCGTTTCCTGACTAGTACGTCCAAGAAGGCCAGTTGTTGGTCACTCTCTATCTCTATCGTAAATTGTATACCCGTTTTTTGTCACCCATTATATCTATAAGCTCGTGCTTGCTCACGTACAAGGCAACACTTCTCAGGTTTTTTTGTATTAAGCATGAGTGCCTTGTAGTTGCACATTTTCACAGTATTGCCACCTACATCGAAAGCCTCAGAAACTTTTTTCTATAACCTAATAGAAAGACGCATGTGCACCGTACGTAGTGCAGTCAGACTACAGCCGTTATGGGAACTACACTAAACTATTTGACGCCACCTTTAGTTTTACTTTTCACCACACCAGCACCGTGATATCTTAATCTGAACTGTTAACGAGACTGATGTCTGTATCTAATATACTAAGTGACATATAAATCCGAACACCCAGTTTAAATGGTTTTATTGTAATAAAATTTTGTATAAGTACTTAATGAAGCATAATAAGTAAATGATAAAAATTTCAAAATCATTGCACTGCTTTAAAGCCCTTTGACCTTTAATAATGTGTGGATGCACCCTGATATGCTACGCATTCTCCAACGCGCCTAGGCATGCTTCTGATCAGGTGGTCAATGTCCTCCTGTGTTATCTCATTCCAGGCAACCACCAACTCCTCTCGAAGTGCTTCTAGGGTCTGAGGAGGACGTTGCAAATTGAGCAATCTCCTACCCATCATATCCCACACGTGCTCAATTGGGGATAAGTCGGGAGATCTTGGTGGCCATGGTAACAATGTGACATCATTATGTTGAAAGAAGTCTATTGTGACTCTTGCAACATGTGGTCGGGCATTATCTTGTTGGAAAGTTGCATCTGCCAGGGTGTCAAGATAGGGTAAAAGATGGGGTTCTAGAACTTCGTGGATATAACGCTGCGCGTTCATGTTACCTCTGATGAAGATTAAAGGTGACCTGGAACCATAAGCTATAGCACCCCAAACCATAACTCCAACAGTGTGATGAACATGTCTTTCAACAAAAAACTGTGGATTCCTCCTTTCACCACATCGCCTTCTAACCCTGGCACGACCATCGTGCATGCCTAAACAAAATCGAGACTCGTCACTAAAGACAATACTGTTCCATTCCTGATCCCAGAGTGACCGTTGTCTGCACCACTCAAGGCGATTACGTCGGTGTTCTCGAGTTAAAGGGAGGACCCAGTGTGGCCGGTATGAAAACAAGCCAAAACTTGTCATTCGTCGGTAAACACTTGGCATGCCAATAGTTCTTCCGTGTTCTGCAAACCATTCATTTGCAATGGACCTGGTAGTGGAGAAACGGTCCCTTAAGGTCAATAATCTTAGGCGGCGATCTTCATGGTCTGTTGTTCTACGGCGGCGTCCAGTGCCCCTTGCTCTTTGCGTATGTCCTTCTCGACGCCATGCCTGAAAACACCTAACCACAGTGTCTACACTTCTTTGCACTCTAACTGCAATTGCCCGAAAAGAAAGTCCAGCTTCCCGAAGTCCCACTATACAGCCCCTATCAAACTCACTAAGTTGACGAAATCGTACAGGTCTCCGTACTCTAGACATCGTAACCGATCGTAAAGGATGTCAAGAACCAAAATCCGCCAACGTTGATTCTTTACTGCGGCTGAAATATTCATTTTTATAGCGTTAGTGAATTAAAAAAAAGCAGTATAAAAACAGGAATGTCCAACTGATAAGGCTGAAAATTTTTTCACTTGTTATTTACAGTAAGATAAATACATTCACCAACTTTTATTAAAATAAAACCATTTAAACTGGGTGTTCGGATTTATATGTCACTTAGTATATGTAGTAAGGGAGTTCCCGTTCCCAAAGGGCCCCAGGGAAGAACATTTCGGCGCTGCGCTCTATCTGGCAACTCCTCCTAATGTATGTAGGTGCTCAGGAAAAATGGTCAATGAAAGCGAAATCGCATTACGAGAACTTCACCGGCGGATAACGAAAAGGGTACTTTGACAAATTTAATGTCAATAAAGGTAGACCGCTATCACTCGCGGCAGCTTGTTGCTGTCCGGAAGTTGCTTTCGCCAACTTTTCATCAGCGATGGAGTAATCGGGTTTTGCTATGTGTGTGGTAACTTACTTTGCTGGTTTGGAGTTAGATGGAGTTTTACAAGCAACAAATTGATATACAGTACTTTTTATTTATTTTTGACAGGCTATACTTTAGCATAAAAGTGACAGTAATTGCAAAATGGTGGCAGGGCGCCATCTTGTCACATTTATTTGAATAAAATGGGGGGGGGGGCGTGCAATTCTTTATTTTGAAGGTATTTATGAGTGCTTATTGATTCTATAATATAAAATGACTATATTTCAAAATAGCGGAATGGCAGGCTGTCAAAGTTTTTGTACACCGAGTCGCTTACAATTCATGAACCAATCAGCAAAATTCTATGTTATACCAATATCTTTCTCTTGGAAGGATCTATCTAAATATACATTAAATTATGTACACTTCATTTGAAAAAATGTCAAATTCTATAAATTTATTTCAACTAAATATTCCATACCTTGTTGCACATTCAGATAGACCCTTTCAAAACAAGAAGATTGATATGATAATAATAATAAAGCATTTATTGCCTAACAGTATAGATACCCTTTAGTGAGCAATACATAGCATAATGATTTAATTTACATAGTCTGTGTGCCATAAAGGGAAAAACACAAAAAATGGAAAGGCACTTCGACTAGAGAGAAAAGAAACTTCAAGCATAATTATATTATATATATAATATATATATATATATATATATATATATAATATATATAAACTAAACATGACGAAACTATTTATTTCTAAAACAATTTGAGATACACTCTAGTCGTAAAAAATACATATTTGAAATCACTTAGACCTATAACTAATAGAACATCTGAACAAATAAACAATGTGCGAATAAATGCGCGAAGTTAACAAAGCAACAGCAAATTTTCATCACAAAGTTTCAATAGGTGACAGATCTGGACTGCTAGAAACCCATTTCAAAAGTGGTAAATTATCTTCTTCCATCCATTTTATAGCCTTTTTTGAGGTATGGAACGCTGCACCATCTTGCTGGTACACAAAATCTTGGCCGGATGTCAAATATTCTTCCATCACTGGTAAAAGCGATTCTTCTAAAATTGCCAAATATTTGTTTGTATCCACATTTCCATCAATAAAATGAAGTTTTCCTACTCCTTTTGATGACATACTGCCCCAGACCATAATGGATGCTGGAAATTTCACTTTTCTCTTCAGGCAGTCAACATGGAATCCTTAATTTTTTTTGCGAATAACTCTACTGCGACTGTCACCAACACAAACTTCGAATCGGGCCTCATCACTCCATTGTATTGCACACCATTGTTGAGGTGTCTATGTCTATGTTCTTTAGACCATCTAAGCCGATTTTTCTCTTGCATTGGCATTAATAGTGGCTTTTCTTTGGC